ACAAGGGGGGGGGGCGGGCTTGTATATGTAACTATACAAGCTAATTAATATAAACCCAAAACTTATTAGCTATTAATATTTATACATGCATAAAATTTATATACATTTACTATCTATCTCACTATAAATAAATAAATGTATCTTCCCTGATCTCTGAACAAGCAAACATGAGATGACTATGAAGGTGGCCCACCTGTCAGGATGGTGAATATGGGCTGTACACTGGGACCAGACCCCTCCTGCCTCAGGGCATTGTTTCAGGAAAAAACAGTTTAAGAGCATAAAGCCAGCATTTTCTCTCAAGTCTTTTTTTAAAGCCTAATGTGGAGACACAGCATCCTGTGATAAAGCTCTTGCAGTGAAAACAACCCTAAGACATACTAAACAGTGCAAAACAGAGCCATCCCAACCCAAAGGCAAGGGGGTTTGCATGGGGGAAGTGAGAAAGGAAGGGCAGGGAGGGGATTTTTCCCTAAAGTCACATTTTTCTACCCCTCTCTAAATGGAGAGGTTTCCAAGGGTGAGCAGGGAGCTGCCAGTGTTGCAGATGGTGGCGTGCAGGCATCCCAACCCTGCTGCCAGCCCCATGCGCTGTGCTCTGCTTGCTGCGGTTCTGCACTGGTTCTGCTTTGCAAACCTTGAGAAACATCAGGCTCCACCTGACCAAACAGCACATTTCTGTGGCTCTGATCCTATCTAAAAGGAGTGTATTTACTGAACTCAGTGGTGGGGCAGAAAAACACCTTGAAAAAAACAAGCATTTTGGTTTAGGCACTTACATAAAATACAGCAGCCATTGTACACAAGGGCTCTGTCTTTAATAGTTGCACAAATCTTGTCTTCACCTCAGGGCTAAGACTATACACAGTTTTATCAGCTTCAAAGGCTACACTTACCCAAAACACCAAGAGGAAACTGCAAAAAGCAGGTGCAGCAAGCTGGTTGCAATTAAGATGTGAAACAGCTCCATGGTGAAAGCAGTGGGGAGAAGCAGGGCAGTGGGTTTGGTACGGCATTAAGTGCTTCCCCAGCTTGAGCCCAGACATGACACGTCAAGCTGAGCAAAAGCTCCTTGTACTGTGAGACCCGCTCCTCCAGGTGCAAGCTGATGCATGCACGCACAGCAGTTTTTGTTCATGGACACAGACATAACTCTGGTTTTAGCAGACACCTGAGCTAAAAAGTTTTCTTGCTTTCTTTTTTTTTGCTTTTTAAAGCCTCTCTTCCTCCTGAAGTCAGAAGTTGTGCTCAGCAAGGCAGCCCTGCAAGAGCATCAGGGAAACAAGCCCTGCCATTTCCAGCAGAGCCTCACTTACCAGAAACAGACCCACCGGTGCATGCAGCCCTCAGGCACACATCCCCTGCGCCAGTTTGTCTTCCATTGATGCTAGCTGCACTCAGGAGTACAGCCTTCCTGGTATTTATGCCCCAGGCCGGCTGCTTGGTGCTCTCCTCACTACTCCGTCCTCAGGAGACCTCCAGCATGGCACAGCACCCTTGCCTGCCATGTCTCAGCATCTGCACTCTGACAGCCTCCATTCTATTCCAGTCAGGCTGGATGAAAAGCCATCATTTAGGAGCAAATCTAGAAGTCTGGTTTTCTGATTATTTTAATCTATGTTACATTTTTAAAAAATTAAGCCAAATACAGCTTTTTTTTAAATAATGTTTTTCATTCTTAAAAACAATAAAACTTAGTATCAGATTCATTTTGCAATTAGATCAACTCTTCCTGCAACTCATCACAGTCACTTATGCTAAATGAAAAATGGGTGTTGGAGCAGCATGGTGGGAGGGTTGGAGTCAAGCCACCCAAAGAAAGGTGGCCCCTTGTTAGCAGTGGGACCATTGCCAAGTGCATGCGTTCAGTGCTGGCTCTCCTGCAGGTTCCAGCTTGTTCAGATTATTTAGCAGCTCAGTCGTTTATGTGGAGGAACAGAGTGCAAGTGGTGGGAAAAGAAAACTAGAAAGCCCTGTTTCCTCTTTTTTTAACCCCCTGAATCAAGAGGTGCAAGAGGCTGCCAGCTCACTTCTCCATGCTGAGACTGGAGATAGCAGTAATATCACCTTGTTTAATTAACCTGCTTAGCATGCAAAACATGCTGTTTTCCTTAACTGCCTTTTCTCTTTTGGCTGTGCCGGACATTAAAAACAGGAAAAAAAAGTATTGGGTTTGTGTCCTCAGCCCCCCAGCCAGTAGTGCCACCTGTCCCTCCCCAATGAGGGGACTGATGGCTCAGGTCTTGCAGAAAAGGATAATGCTGGGCTGCGAAGCAGCAGAGACCTCAGCAGCTCTAGACCTCAGTGCTGGGCCTGGGAGCTGGCCTCCAGATCAGAGCATCTGACCGTGTCCTGGTATGTCATCGCGTTTATCGATGTGCCTGGAGCATGCTGCTTGCATTTTCCACATTTTACTGAATCTTAACAAACAAATTCTCCTGCTTTCTGTGGACTTTGAGCAGAGGCTGATCTTATGGAAATAAGGTCTGTGGAAGTAAGACCTTGGCATCCCATGGAAAATCCCAGTAGAGAAGTATGATCAAGCTGAACACTGCTAGAGGAATCAAAGCAGGCAAACTGCAGGCCAATCCCAGCTCTCAAAGTGCTGAGTGACCCTCTCTGGTGGCCCCACTGGCCCTCGGAACAATGGATTGGCCTGCAGGGAAATGCTGGACAAACAGGTCTGGAGGGACATGCTTTGGTCCCGTGTCATAGGTAGCTTGTCTCCTGGATGGGCCGCTTGGACCCACATTGCAGCCTCACATCCCGCTTGCCTCTGGCCCCATTTCCTGCTGCTCCTGCCTGCACCTCCTGGATGGACCATGATCCACACCCTCTCTTGGTCTGGGGCTGGTGATGGACCCTATTACCAGCACCTGGCTTTGCCCACTCTGCTCAAGTGCTGTGGGACTCTGCCCATGGGTGAGGGCCCTGCTGCACCTAGGGTCCCCCGGTCCTGGTTTGTACCACCTTGCTGGACAGTGCTGTTCCCCGATACCCACAAACACTCATCTGTAAAACCGTCTCCACCATGTTCCGCGGGTGTCACACCACGCACCAGTAGGGATCTTGGTGTCGTCCACAGGCAGGGAGGAATCTGCTTCAATAGAAATCTCGTGGTCGTAGATATCCTGTGAGCCCTGCAGAAGGATGGGAAATACTGGTAGTCCCGCTGCGACCCTTCCACCAGTTGAGCACACCTGGGAAGTGGCTGCCCATGGTGGTGCCACAGCTGATCTGGTAGTGCCTGGGGGACCTCCTTGCTGTCATCTTACCTTGACCCTAGGCACAGGACAAAGGTACCAGCACAGGCAAAAACCTGCATGGGACCTAGGAGCTGTAAATCCTGCAGGGCTGAGACTATCAGTCTGAACTCGGTACCTCACCAAGCACTACCACCCTGCAGATTGACTAGCCAAAACATGCTTGTTGCTGAGCACACAGCAGCAGGCAAAAGGGGAAGGAAGCAAGCATGGGGAAGCGCAACCCATCCTCCTGACTCATCTCCTGCAGCATGGGGGGTTGCACTCCTCTTCCTCTCCCACAGCCTCGGGGATGTTGGCAGGGATCCTGCTGGGCTGGAACTGGAGCAGGATCAAATCTGAGCCTGCACGTTACTGTCTAACCTAAGCAGCAATGTCATGCCCAAAGGCGTCCCGTTCCTCTGGAAACACCTGAGTTGCATGCTGTAGGTGTTGATATTACTGCACCACTGGGAGGACAAATGGAGGATAAACTAACAACTGCACAGCCATTATTAGGGCAGTAGCCTGAGCAGGCCTCCTGCACAGAGTGGCTAGGTTGTCTCTGACTAACACTTTTAAGGGTCTTTGTCTCATGTCCAAGTGTGACTGCTCTGCCCAGCAACATTTTATTTCCCAGATCATTTTCCTCCAAGCCCAGTTGTAAGCAGGGTGAAACTAAAGTGCAGCTGCAATCAGTGCCTGTCTAGTTGGAAGGGCCCTGGACTGGTTTGTGGGACCCTTCTGCACCCTGCTACTGCCCTGCTCTGCAACATTGCCTGCCTCACATCCCATTTCCATGACGTTTCTCCTCCCCATTTTGACCTGGGTATTTCAGTGTTGTGCTGGCTGTGGCTGGCACTACAGGCCCTGATTTCAGCTGCATCATCCACGCAAGGGTTCAGTACGTTGTCTCAGAAGCACCAACAGAAGACAGCTAAGAAATACCAGTTCATCACTAGGGCATGCCAGTTCCGCACCTCCTCTGTAATCTTCCCGAAGGCTCAGGAGAGATTGAAACTCCCCAGTTACATACAAAAGGAGTTAATATTCATGATGGGATGTCTTTGTTCATGACGCACTGGGATAATGCATCCTCAGTTGAGGTCTATGCGATTCAGTCCTGTCCCAGCTTGTAGGCTGCACACAGCCCATGTTGCATAAAGACCCCCATTGCTGTGTCCCCAGAAGCATGCTGTGTCCTCAGACCAGCATGTTTGTCCCAATGATGCCATGAGAAGCCCATGGATCATCCCATGGGTCCCCAGGCTTTCTTCCCCTGCACAGTGTCCCTCCGCAGGGTTCATCTCCCCATGCTTACCTGCCCTGAGAGGTTGAAGTATGCATGGTTTGTCAGGCTGATGGGTGTTGTCTTGCTGGTCTGGGCTTGATAATTGATGGCCAGCTCCCCACCACTGAGTGTGTAGGTCACCCAGACTTTCAGGTCACCAGGGTAGCCTTCCTCACCATCAGGGCTGAGCCGGAAGAAGCATACACCGTTTGGGAGGACCTGGGGGCTCCAGAGAACCTGCAAGGAGCATGCTGTTGTTGTGACAGTCATGGGAAACATGGTGCCCTTCTCTCTGGCCCAGGGTTGGACTGAACTCAGGGACAAAAGGTAATCAAGGAATGATACACTGAAACAAAGGGTTTTTCAATCATCTTTCCTGCTCTTACTCCTAGAAGAAAAAAAAAAAAGCCCAATCAATCTTTTTCTCCCTATGAAGGACTAAACAACAATATCCCTTTGTTAAAAAAGAAAAAGCGAAGTGGGAGAAAACACAAGCACCAGCCTGCTCTTGGTCAGCCAGGTCCAGCAGCAGAGAAGATGTTTTCCAACGAGCAGCCAAACAAACAGGGCAGTTTGCTCTGACAGGGATCTGTCCCAGCCTGTATTACTCCATGACTAAGGGTGTCCATGCATTGGGTTTTTGCCCTGCAGCTGCACTTATTCCCCCTCCCATGGATCTCCTGGTGTGTAACATCGTCCCAATAAGCTGTTGCCCTTCCCTTAGTTAACTTGGGGCCAGCTTCTAAGACAATGTAAATTCATGCTGGGAGCTCCTGATTAGGGGCTGAGGTTGGGTTAAACAGTTATCCAGATGTATTGCCAGATACATCCACATGTCAGGGCTGATCCAGAGAACTGGAACCTCTCTGTTTCTTGCCCCTGCCAGAGACTAGGGCTCTGCTTGTAGCTGAACCTGCTGATGAGCAAAGCCAGCACATTGTAAATTTAATTTAGCTGCCCAGACAGCCTGTTTGACCCTGGCGGTGGACCTGATGCTAAGCAGTTGTCTCAGCCCCATGCAGGATGGAAGTGCAACAAGAGGCAAGGTGCCCAGTCTCTGGAGCTTTGCATCAACTTAAGGAATAGTTACTGTCTAATCAAAGAAAGAGGACAGATCTAGGGACAGGGGCCAAATAACGTTTTTGAGATCACTCCTTTCATGTCCTATGCAGAAATCACAGACTTGGGGCACTTGTCAAAAGCCAACATTTTCAGAAAACACAGGAACTGAGGGTGCCAAATGTGCAGAGCACGTCTTCCTGCACTGAATGCGGTTCGGCTACAGCTCCCAGTGCTCTGGGATGCTGTAGTTTTATATATTAATTTCTATTTAATTTCTTCAAAGAAAAAGCTATTAAAGGCCAGTAAGCATACAGACATCACTATTTTTTAAAGATACGAAGGTTACTTTCTAAAGTCCCCCAGCAGCATGGTGAGATATTGGTGACGTGTAAGTGTGGCTGCAAGCCTCCTTGTCATCAGACCACACGCTGACCGCAGCACCAAGATCTGGAAGACTATCTGACTGACAAGACAGCCAAGACAGTCACAGCCAAGAGCCAGCATGTCTTGGTTTTGTTAAGGCTGACCACAGGTGTCTACACAGTGACCATTACCTGGCTGGAGGGGTTCTTGAGCAGGTACCTGAGTATGTCCCGTGGGCCAAAGGACACAAAGCCATGGCTGAGCGTTGTCACTGCCTTGTCCCCACCAAGTTAGCGTGCCTTCAGCAAGCAAGGGGAAGAGGCAGGAGAAGACACCACATGCAGAAGCCTGGAAGCCCTGAGTGCAAAGGAGTACACGTTTTCAGCTCCAGCTCACAGAGGGTCAGGGCATATAAAGAAACTTTAAACCAAATTGTCCTCTTTGTGGGTACAACAGCCAACTCACCCCAGTACTCCCTTTTTTCTAAGGCTGCTGAGGAGCGTTTGATGCCAATCTGATGCCAGACCACACTGTGCTGCCCAGACTGAATTTTGCCCCATCATCCCCCATGTCCTTTCATGAAACAAAACATCAATCCAGGAAAGCAGGTGCACCAGCACATTCACATGCACTCCTCTGGGGAAATGGTGGATCAGCCACTTGCTGGTTACAAATGCATTTAATCTGACAAAGGCCAAGGTTTCAGGAAAGCAGAGATTTCTGAGCCTGCTATGCAATCAGCAGGGTTATCAGCAAGGCTTTCAAGAGAGGAGATGCTCCACTGCTTTTACCACCTGTAGTGCATGGATGATATCTGGACTTCAGCAGCAGCTCTTTGGAGGATGTAGGAAAGGTTGAGTACCCTGAGGCCAGGGAAAGATTATTTTATCTCGAGGAGGTCACAGGGAAGGGCTGGGGAGGGGACACGGTGATGCTGGGCGATTTTCAGGCCTAATCTACTCACCTGCTGTTGTGAGTCAAAGCTGGAGCCCAGGGTATGCTGTCAGTAGGATGAAAGCAGCACTGAAGAGGGTATGCAATAACTGCACTGAACCCGCAGCACCCCCCTGCTCTCCCTGTACTTGGGAGTGCTGTCAAAAGCAAGCAGCAATGATATGCAGTTTCTGCAAACCCAGGACAATCTGACTCTGGGAGGAGCTATGGGCAGGTAACAGCCTTGAAACTGCAGGCACAAAAGAGTCTGCATGGATCACTGTTCCCTGTTCCCCAGGGAACTTTCTTTGGGCATTGGGACAACTACAGCACCCACTTGGGGGTGGTACGGCTGGCGCCTTGGGAGCCACCATAGTGCATGAAGCTGGGTCCTCAACCACTATGTCCCAAACCAGGCTCTGCGGGAGCAGTACCTTCCTCCAGGACAATCCCACTGCAACTGAGCTCTCAGGGCCTCAGGGCTGCAGTAACGCACAGCAACCCTCTGTATGGCATCTGAGGATGACATAAGTGAGCCCTGCTAAGGGCAAAGAGAGGCTGACCCAGCAGCTCACAGGGTCACAATTCCTCCCATTCCCGCACTCACAGCACCTTCTGGGAGCTGATTCAGCACAATAACTACCAGAAAACCCTACAGTATCAGGAGTGAAGGCATCATATCCTCGTGCCACAACCCCACAGGCTGTGTGCTGGAGGACACTGGAACCTGCCAGCCTGATTTTCACCTTGTCAAATCCCCTGGCTCCTCCATGAAGGCTGTTGGGCCCATTGTTGAGGAACAGCTGGTACTCCTTCCCATCCACAGTGAACCTCCCCTTCGCAATCCTGTTGGCAACACGTCCCACGACAGCGCCAAAGAAGGGGTGCTTCCTTGTGTAACCTGTCCGGAAAAAGAGCGCACAGTTAAACAGAAGGATTGGGACAGGATGGGTGGTCTCCAGGTGTGCTTACGGACTCAGAGGTGTCTCTCTCTGCTTCCCCCCAGTACTAAATAGGTGACTGCTGTCCTGGTGTTTCATAGGACACACAGCTTGCTAGTCATGCACATCTTTGATTAAAACAGCCTGATGGGATCTTGTATTCTTTGCAGATTTGCAGAAAAGGCCTCTGTCACTGCCAGTTAAAATGTGACACAGAGCTGCCCCAATAGAGGGGCACACTGCAACCTGGAGCCACCAATGTCCCCATTCCCCATCCACTACCGAGCTCAGGACAGGCAGTAAAAGTTGTATTTATTCAGATGACTATTTGGACAGGACCCTTAGAAGCAGATCATGCAGTGTGGTAATACACCAGAAAATGCTGCCTAAATTGCCTGATTAAAAAAAATATTATTTTTTTTTAAAGAAGCAGATTTAGACCCACCTTCCAAAGTGTCAAAGCCTAGGACAATATCTGAAAACTTCCCATCCCTGCCTTTTGTCTCCAGAGCGGTGATTATGCACCCTAAGGACAGGATCTCTGCTTTCACGGTGTCTGACTTTAAGATGAACTTTTCCACCACGCTTCCTCCTTTTTCTGGGGGCATCTGCCCGAATGCCTCTCTCTTCACTTCTGTCATTGCTCCCCAAAACCTGGTCCCCGGCACCGCTGGCAGGAGTTGCAGCCCTGCCAGGGAAGGACGCTGAGGAGGAAGCAATGGCGGACAGGAGCAGAGCAAACACAGTTCAAGAAAACAGTCATAAAAACCACATGATTGCCTTCCAGCGCTGGGAGGAGTTACGCCGTGCGTCGGCTACTCCCCCCCATCCCGGATCAGCAGATGGCACACTGGCAAGTGGCAGGGCAGCCGCAGAGGGATACAGCGGAGCGTGGAGAGGTATGGAGGGCTTTCACCTGAAGGCAGCGTCCCTCTGGGCCTGGTCAGCTGGAGGTGCTGGAGGAGAGAAGGATGGATGCGGAAAAGAGGGAGCAAGGCTGTATGTGCTCAGGCTTGTGCTGCTGGGGACAGGCAGTGGACTGCCTGCCTGCACGTTCAGGCTTTCAAGGGACAGAGCATCACCACCACCAGCTCTTCTCCCCCACTTTCATTACACTTGCCACAGTTTTCAAGGGCCCTTGCAAAGTATGACATGACAAAATGCTGTTTTCTCCCTTTATGCCCTCCCTTAGCCCCTCCACAAGAGGCACAAGGCAGGTCTAATGCCTGCTGATGGAGCTAGCTGTAAATTGGGCTCAGGGCTTTTGCTGGCCAGGTGTTATTCTCAAAGTCACTTTCACGGACTTCATTAAAAATAATCAAAAAACCTCAATCAACCAACCAGTAGTTGCTAAATATCCATTTCCAACACAGCAATCACCTTTAGACAAGACAAACTATGGATTCCAAGCTGACACAGAAACAAAACCTCCCACCTGGTGCTAAGCAGAGGTGGTTCTGAAACCTGCTCTTCTTTGTTAACGAAGGCCACATGTTTGCAGTGTAACACAAATGGCTGTTCCTGTGTTTCCTTCTGCATCTTCACAATTAGTGCTCTCTACCTGAAAACAACATTGCAAGTAAACATGCTTTTTACTGCTCATCAATACCACCTCCCATTTGAAGTGGGTCAGGGAGCAGCACAAACTTTGAAGCGAAGAAAGCTCCTGGCAGGTGGAAGAGAGGGCAGCCGCATTTATAAAGAATTAATGAAGTGTTTTCACATGCAAAGCATTCACAGAAGCTCACTCCTTAGCACCTTAGCTCCCTTAACACCTCTCTCTTAAAGTGCTTCTCCAGACACAGGAAGCGTTTCTGCTTCGCAAAGACAGGTTTTCATTAAGATGTGTTTTTTTAACATGACAGGAGCTGCCATTTTGATTTACTTCTCTGATTCACACCAGAGAAGGTCCAGATCCAACTCTTTGTCTGACCTAAGTCATACACCCTCTTTCATTTTCTCACATTCCTTCACAGTTGCAAGATCACCCAAGCCCCAGGGACATCTAAGACTGTGCAGGTGCAAAGGCAATACCACAGACAAATCTGTTCATGAATCATCCACCCAATTTTCAAGCTCACAGATAAACCAGAAAACAAATCAGGTTGCACAAGACTGAATCTTGCGTGAAACAGTAAGGGCAGTGGAGCAAGGTCAGCTTCAGGATTTGAGCAAGGTATTTCAAGACTCCTGCTTCATTACCTAGAGGATTTCTCGTAGTTCACCTTTGCGTGTGTCTTCCCTGTCTACCTCTGGTGAATGGGGGAGGCAGACAAGGGAACAGACAAGATACAAGCAAGTTGTGTTCAGCATCTCACTACACTGGATTTTCTTTTTGGCCATTCCTATGTTTAAGAGAGAGTTTGCTCCAGGCCATATTCACTGTGGCACTGAGTTTTGTGCATTTTTGTCTTCTTTCTTCCCAGAAGAAAACAGCAGTACCGGGCCTGAACATGCCTGACATTGCCAGCAGGCCATTTCCACAGCCAGAGTGTGTTCACAAAAGCTTGCTGCACAGCTCCAAGACTTTGGTTTAATTGCTCTGCCTTGCGGCTCTGCACTAGTAGCTGGGCAGTGCACTAGCTCTCTTCTCCCATCTTCCCTCGCTCTCACTGAGGTACTGCAGCAGCCTTTTGCAACCCAAAACATTCGGGAGGAGTAAGGATTTATGTGCTCTATCACAGCCAGTGACCCTGCAGGTGTAGCAGAGGCATGGCATAAAGGCATAAAAACCTGTTATATGCTGCCCAGAAGCCTGGCCCCGGCTGCTCTAAAGCAGGCAAGAGATTTCTGTTTAGTAGCAAAGGCAAACTGGGAATTCAGCCTGTGAGTGAATGGTCCTGTCTTTCCCCCACCAAAAAGCTAATAAAAAGGCATACTGTAAAAAAGAACAGTTTGTTTGTTTTGGTTTTTTTTGTTTTTTTGAGAGGGAGCCATTTAATGGACTGTCAACTACTGTCAGAAAATAAACTTGGTATGACAAATATTACAGAGCAGAATTTATTTCCCTGGGATCAGTAGCTTGGAAATCCCAGGTGCCTACAGGGCAGCGACTGTTTTACATGGCAGAAGCGAGACATCTTCTGAGAGGTACAAAGCACCCATTTGCCGACCTGATGCACTCTCTAGAGAGGTGTGTTGCTTACTGGGGGCTTGTATCAAGGATGTCACTGAGAGACTAGCAAGGTTTGTACAGTCAACTGACTATTACCTGCTGCTGTTGTTTCACAGGGGCACCAGTGATACAGCTACGAGCAGTCTGAGGACTATCAGGGAGTATTATAGAGCCCCGTGAGTGGTGGTAAGGGACTCTGGAGCACAGGCAGTTTTTTCATCAATCTACCCAGTCAAAGGGAAGGAGCTTGAAAGGGACAGTCATGTCTGGTTCCAGGACTGATGCCACAGCCAGGAGTTCGGCTACTTAGACCATGGGACTTGCTTTGAGAAACCTGGTCTACTGGGCGCTGATAGAGTCTGTCAGAGAAGCAGAAGACCATCTTTGGCCATAGGTTTGCCAAGCTGGTTAAGAGGGCTTTAAAATAAATTTGCTAGGGGAGGGAAACCTTAATCCATCCCAGTTTGATGCCAGTGCCAACAATAGATACCCAGAGCCTGGAGATGTCAACAGGTCAATAGGAAAGCAACTGAAGAGCAGCACAAAGGACTTCCAGCCACTCAGGCCAGTAAGTTAGTTTCATCGGGGGCCCAACTTAAATGCCGCTATACAAAAGCACATAACATGGGGAATAAACAAGAGTTAAGAGGCATGTGCACACCTGCAGGGCTATGATCTTATTGGCATCACAGAGATGTGGTGGGATAGCTCCTATGACTGGAGCATTGGAATGGAAGAACAGGCAGGGGAGATGAGGAGGTGGTGTCACCCTCTATATGTCAATGGCCAGGTGGAGTGCATGGAACTCCACCTGGGGATGGATGAAGACCCAACTGAGAGCTTACGGGTCAGGATTAAAGGGAGGGCAGAGACAGGTGACATTATGGTGGGGATCTGCTACAGGCCACCCAACCAGGAAGACTGAGCGGATGAGGCCCTCTATAGACAAATAGGAGCAGCCTCATGTTCACAAGTCCCGGTCCTCAACCATGCCGACATCTGTTGTTGTAGGGACAACACAGCAAGGCATAAGCAATCCAGGAGGTCCCTGGAATGCATTGATGATAATTTCCTTCTCCAAGTGACAGAGGAGATGATGAGGAGAGGTGCTATGCTGGACCTGGTTCTCAACAACAAGGAGGTGCTGGTGAAGAATGTGAAGCTCCAGTGACCATGAAATGGTGGAGTTCAGGATCCTTAGGGCAGTGAGGAACGTACACAGCAAGCTCACTACCCCGGACTTCAGGAGAGCAGATCTTGGCCTCTTCAGGGATGTGCTTGGCAGAGTACCATGGGATAAAGCCCTGGAGGGAAAAGGAGCCCAAGAATGTTGGTTAATATTCAAGAATCGTCTCCTCCAAGCTCAGGAGTAACCATCTCGGCAAAGAAGTCAGGGAAAAATGCCAGGAGGCATTGAACAAGGCGATGAACAAGGAAGTCCTGGATGACCTCAAATACAAAAAGGAAGCCTACAGAGGGTGGAAGCAAGGACAGGTGGCCTGGGAGGAATACAGAGAAATTGTCCAAGCAGCCAGCGATCAGGTTAGGAAAGCTAAAGCCCTGATAGGATTAACTCTAGCCAGGGACGTCAAGGGCAACAAGAAAAGCTTCTATAGGTACGTCAATGATAAAAGGAAGAGTAGGAGAAAAAGAGTCTAGAAGAAAGAAAGACTAGAAGAAAGGAAGACTAGAAGAAAAAGACTAGAAAAGGAGAAGATCAGGTTCAAGACCATCACAGGAACCTAAAGGTGCGCAAGTCCATGGGACCTGATGAGATGCATCTGCGGGTCCAGAGAGAACTGGCAAAAGTTGCTAGGCCACTGGCCATCACAGTCATTCAGTTCTGTGTAGATCCCACTGACTTGGAA